GGAGGAGGAGGAGGAGGAGGCAGAGCCGGAGCCGGAGCAGGAGCCGGAGCAGGAGCTCCTGGAGGGAGGCAGGCGCCCCAAGGCGGGCCGGGGGCTATTTATTGCGGGGCGCCCAGAGGGTCCGTGGCTCGGCGGCACCTGCCCCGCATGGGCGCTTTGGAGGCTGCCCGCTCCCTTCGGCCCGGGGCTGAGCAGCCGTCCTCCTCCCGGTCCTCCTCCCGGTCCTCCTCCCGTTCCCCTCGGAGGGCCAGGGAGCGGAGCCATGAGCGGCGGCGCCCCCCCTCGGTCTCGGCCTCGGCCTCGGCGTCTGGGTCTGCCGGTGCCGGTGCTGGTGCTGGTGCTGGTGCTGGCGGTGGCGCCGGCGCTGGGCTGCGGCCCCGGGCGGGTGGTGGGGAGCCGCCGGCGCCCTCCGCGGAAGCTGGTGCCGCTGGCCTACAAGCAGTTCAGCCCCAACGTCCCCGAGAAGACGCTGGGCGCCAGCGGCAGGTACGAGGGCAAGATCGCCCGCAGCTCCGAGCGCTTCAAGGAGCTCACCCCCAACTACAACCCGGACATCATCTTCAAGGACGAGGAGAACACCGGCGCGGACCGGCTCATGACCCAGGTGGGAAGCGAGCAAGGAGGGAGGGAGGGCACCCCGGGCACTGGGCACTGGGCACTGGGCACCAAGCATTGGGAACTGGCCACTGGGAACTGGGCACAAGGCACCGGGTACTGGGGACCGGGCATTGGGAACTGGGCACTCACTGGACGCTGGGCACAAGGCACCGGGCACTGGGCATTAAGCATTGGGTGCTAGGCGCCAGGCACCAAGCACTGGGCATTGGGCACCAAGCATTGGGAACTGGCCACTGGGAACTGGCCACTGGACCCTGGGCACAAGGCAACGGGTACTGGGAACCGGGCATTGGGAACTGGGCACTGGCACGGAGCACCGGGAACTAGGCATTGGGAACTGGACACTAGGCGTTGGGTGCTGGGCACTGGACGCTGGGCATCAGACACTGGAGACTGGGCGCTAGGCTTTGGGCGCTAGGCCCCAGGCGCTGGGAAGTAAGCATCGGACACCGGGCATTGGGCACCAAGTACCGGGCACCGGACACTGAGCATCACCGGCCACA